AAAGAATTTGCAAATTTGATTATATGTGTGAACTATTATCCTTTAAATGTTATATTTTATATCTAACTCTGATTCACACATACAGAATTTTCTCTTATTTTTTCATATTATTTTATACTTGATGATCTATAAATGTTATATTTTATATCTAACTCTGATTCACACATACAGAATTTTCTCTTATTTTTTTCATATTATTTTATACTTGATGATCTCTCCACTCTTAATAACAATTCATTATGCATATTGCATTTGTTTTCGATATAATGTATAATGATGAGGAAGTAAAAAAAATAATACTGAAATTTGTTAGTTCCTAGGTATTAAAATCTAGTCAATATAATTAGCGAAGATAGACGCATTTATGAAGTAGAAGACATAATTAAGTCATCAGCGATTAATTATGCAGAGTATAACGTAAAATATAGGGATAATAAAAACTTGTTTTTTGCAATGCATATTAGAATCAATAATTTTCTCAATAAAATATGAATTTACGTTCAGCTTTACAAATAGTTAAATAAACGTATTGTCAATTCCTGCGTTTCACGTTATATTCTGTATGAGTTAGCATTTATAAGTTTAATCAAATCGATGAATAACGAAACAAATAAATTGAAAATAAATTCGAAGTTAATTCGAACATAAGAGGAAGCCAGAGAATTATTCTGTAAGTTCAGGTAATTAAAATGCAACGTACGTTAATACATTTTGTATGTGAGAAAGAGTAATAATTAATGTATTTATTCGATGACGATTCGAGAGCTATTTATCTAATATATGTAAGAAAGAAAGTAGACAACATTTAGCGATACGATCGAATATGTGAACGATGAACGATGATGTAATAGTAAAGCACAGTGCTTTTGCTCAAATTGTATCACAGGAGGCTGTCAATACTAATATAAATATTTCGTACATTGTTTCAGATATGTTTCAACTGTTTTGAATACATACTATTTAACAAGTAGAACAAAATCTGTACATAAATGCCATGTAGGAAATCTAAAATCACTTAAGGATAGATGCTGTATAAATAGATTCGGATTTTTTTTTAGCCATTGATTATAAATAGCACGCAAAAGCTACGTAAAAACCACTCAATTCCCTAAGTTAAATCCTTTTTCTTTGATATTTCGTCTTTGTCAATAGAGTTAATAATGAATATTTTATTTAAATGTTTTAAAATTCATGAAATAATTCGTGTGTATTTCTATTTAGAGAAATTTATTAATAAAATATAATTTGTAGATAAAAATACATCTATGCATAGGATATAAAGTACAATGCAAATAAGGACCTGTGACAATGCTTACAAACAGTCCTCTGCATACAAATTCCCATATATTTGTTTACATTTACATTAAAAAAACAGAGATCCAAAATTAAGAGAATATAAAAATATAATAATAAGGAAACTGTCTTTTCCAGATCACAAGATGAATTAGATTGACTGCAAGGAACATCCGTTGTCACAAAATATTGTTTGCTATATTAAATCAGTATTATATTACTCACTATTTCAAATTCTTGATGATTTCATGAAGAGATGACGACATAAACCTAAAACTACGAATTATTATTATCATTAACATCATGTTAATGTCACAGTAAGATTAACAATTATTTTCATGCTTGTACTGGAAATAATATTTTAGTTTTTGCAATATCAATATTTTCAAGATATTGTTTCATTGCAAAAAACTTAAATTCCTTAATTTCTATAAATCTATTTTTAAGATTCATAGCATTCTAATCAAAACTCCAGAGATTCTTTTAGAATAGTAGTAAGTGTTTGCAGATCATTTATCTTCATTCAAATTCCCAAGTACAAAAGAATGTTAACTAAATGCAACCTATTCTTAATCTG